TATGCCATACAAAGAACGTTAAAGTTTAAACCTCTTTCCGAAAAAGCAAAACTCGTGATTTATGAAACCATACTTGAGACCCATAGTTACATATGGCAGTGAATCATGAGTTTTGACCAGTGAAAGTGAAAGAAAGCTCAATGTCTGGGAAAGAAAAATACTCCGGAGGATATATGGGCCAATAAGAGGAAGTGGCACGTGGCGTTTAAGAAACAATGAAGAGCTCCGTGCAATTTATGGCAAACCAGACCTGGTCATTTATGAAAAAAACCCGCCTGAGATGGCTCGGACACGTATAAAGGATGCCAGAAAATATAATTCCAAGACGCCAGCTATATGGAAGAATTGGAGGGAAGCGATACCGAAAAAGGCCAAGAATTCGATGGTTGAGTGACGTTGAAGAGGACCTAAGTTGCTCGGAGTAAGAAGATGGAGGACGCGAGCGAGAGACAGGAATTACTGGCTTAAAGTCCTTGAGGAGGCCCTGGTGCTTGTAGGACCATAGCGCCCAGTAGTAAGTAAGTCAGTAAGACTTCAAAACATGTGTTTCCGTTCAAAACATAGACTCAAAAATTTTCACGATCACAATACTTTTTTTTACTATATATTTCATATAGAGGTAAGTTAAAGTAATATATGGTAAGGGAAAGTATTGCGATTGTGAAAATTTTTGAATCTGAGTTGTTTTTTTAGTGACTATGAAGAAATCTTCAAAAGACACGAACAGGCCCATACCTATTCGCATGTGGTATTCTTATCCAGTAAAAACAAACCCCCTTCACCTGTTAATTTCCCCTGACGGAACCGCCGTTAGGCATTACTTCATGGAGGAGAATGGCAACATGCCCTCTCATTGTATTATGTTTAATCGTCGTGAGGCATTATTTATCTTCTGGCTAAAGGCCTCCCCTGATCTCTTCTTCCGCTCTCAGTTTCTTCACAGCTTCCGAATGTTTATCCGTTCGCAACATAGGCGTCATCATATTTTCGGAAGTGACATTCACCCCATGCCCATTCTCTGTTTGCTATTTACATTAATGACCTTCCCCTCCTGATCCATCATTCCCAATACCATATCTATGCAGATGATTTCCAAATATACCTGTTCTATCCTTCTTCCGACATATAAGCAGCACCAAAAAACTTTAAGGGACTTGAATAGAATCTGTGAATGATAGGATACGAAGTTGGAGTTGAATGCCGAGAAGACCAAAGCAATTTATAGCCTCCAGTCACCTCCTTAAAACTCTTCTTATAATATTCTTTTATTTTATTTATTCATTATATAAATCAGTTTATTTTGTAATTATTCTCTGAGCTCCCAAAGCCCACATTTCTATCTCTATGCATTATTCTAACGAAACTTGTGCCAGAATAAATAAAGTATTATTATATGCACATTCTTACACTAGTTTACTGCAGTGAAAGCCAACAATACTTGACTGAATAAAATTGAAATGATTACTTTTGAAAGCTTCTTTGGATTGTTTTTGAAGTTGTGCAAAAAGACACCACACAACATGCCAGCGGCCCAGGGACCGGCCCTCATGTAAGCAGTCCCGTACAACTTTTGGTAATAATCCTCAGCTTCTTCATAGCTAGGAAAAAACAAAAAACATTAGTGTAACCTGCAAATAAAGTGGAATATAAAAATTTATAACAACATCGGTTCTTTATCAACTGTTTTGATAAAGATTAAGTCAGAGGCACTTGGTAAATCTCCGAAATCATATTGTCAATAATGCGAGTTAATAACATCTAACTGATTAGAAACATGATTAACTGAAGTGTTAATAATATTTCCTTACTGAGCGGTGTAAAGAATATGTTTCTGGTAACATTAGTGACCGGTGTAAACAGTATGTTTCTGGTAGCATTTGGATGTAAACCCACTTTTAAAGAAAGGTGTTTGTCTTTATTTAAATGTATTAGGTTGGTGTTGATGTCTTGCAGATGTATAGCCTTTGCTCTGAATCATATCCGAGAAAACGTGGTGCATTAGATTTTATTTTGTTTACATTATATTATTGAAAAAATCTGAAACTCATATATGGACCATACTCTCAGAAACTGCCGATAAGATTCTCATTATTTTTTTTACAAATTGAAAATTTTAAAAACAATCCGAAAATATTTTTTGACCTGTTCTATTAAATTTTGATAGTCAATTTTAAAAGAATTATGAATACGATAAAAGTTTCTTATTCAGATATATAGATACATCGAACCTCGATATTTCAATCTTAGAAAAGAAGATGTAAATATCAAACATTAATATCGATAGACTTTTTGAGCGTGTTTAACCGTCGTTGGGAATTCGGAAATCTAATACCTTTTGTGACACTGAGTGAGAAGAAACAATAAGAATATATATTTGAAATGTGGGACTTAGTAAATACACTTTGAATGAATTGACTCACCTGGTTTGTTATTCTTCAAATAACTTCATCACTTCCAATCAAATAATTTCCTCACTTCTTCTTGTGAGGCATAAAGGACAACTAAATAAAATGACTTTTCATTATTGTATAATAAAACAGTTTATTTTACAACTGTAATAAATCGATGTATAAAAGTCTTATAACTGTAGGGCTGATATTCTTAGCCTTCACAAATATAGTATCTCTCTCTTCCCAGATGACTTCCTCTCTTCCTGTCCCAGCCTCAAATGCCTTCTCTCCTCTTCTCCGGGGTCCTTCCCCAGCTGTTGCTACCTGCTCCGTCCTCTTCCAACCTTCTTTCTTCATCGATTGTTCATCGATATGAGACTTTTCAATGAATAATTTTTCCACTGCACAATTGAGTATAATTCATCGTTCAACCTCACATTCCTATATTTTATATATTCCTTCTCATTCCCTCACGCAATGTCACATAAAGAAGCAAATACCGGGGGGGGGGATGTCTACTACAGATGCATATAATCAAATTACCGATTTGTAAATAATTCAAATTGTTTAGAAATATTGATATTTCCAGCCTCGATATTCATTAGTCATTCAAAGAAGAGGAACAGGATTAACGTTGAATTGTAATCTTAAGACTTAATTTAAATTGCCATTGGTTTTAATTTTAAAATTAAATATTTATGTACTCATATATTATTATATTTTAAAAGACTGATCCTGCATAACCGGAAGGGGAAATGACTCCCCTCTAGTATCTACCAGAAATTTTATTTATTTTTTTAAATCGACGATGTATACCTAATTGTTTAAATATAATATCGGATCTAGAGTTTTTAAACTACAATAAATTTATTTAATGTTATAAACATATGTTGTACCAATCAATAAAATATCTTTATATTTCACTTCTTCTTTCACACAAATACAATGAAATAGTTTTTTTTTAACAATGTCATTGCCTTGATTTGGTGGTTTTTATAGCCTTTCTTTCAAACATATAAAAAATTTTAAATGTTTATATTTAGTTAAGAAATTTCATTTCATTGGAAACACGTGGTTCCCGTTAAATAATATTACTTTTCAGAAATTAACATTTATAATGTTTGTCATTTTCCATTATTGTCTACGATTTTGTATGTTAGATATTGTTTTTCCTAATATTCTCAACTTTTCAACGATATATTATAGGTATACTTTCAGTCTCTTATTTCCGGAAATTAGCTTCCAACCTAAAAACACATTTTTCCTTTTTCTATTTTAGCCTCTTAACAAATTCAATCATATTTTATATTCGCCATTTTTTATTTTTAATGAAAAATTCGGTGTGAGACCACGTGATAGAATGGAAAACAGCAACAAGGCGAGATTAATAATATGAAATATTAATTATAAATAATAGCTCATTAAAAAGAGGATAGAATACTGAACATTTCCTTCGCTAACAGTATGCATTCATTGCATTCATTGCATTCATTTAGTTAATAAAATTCATTTAGTTTAGTCATTTGGTTAACCCTTGTATCTACCTTCCTAGAACTAGACTCATCTTTCCTACAGAATAATCCTTCTGCAAATATTGAAATTTGTTCTGGGTTCATCTAGAGCCCGTCTCCATGCCACTCTTCTTTCTGATGTTGTTTTGTTATTTAGACTTTTAATGTTTTATTTACTTGTAAACCTGTAAAATAAACCTTTTTAAAAAAGTCTTAGCTTCTATATTGAAGATAATTTGAATATAAAGGAAATCGGTCTAAAGATACTAAATGTGAATCACAATAATAATAATAATGTCTAACGATTTTTGTTGTAATTTAAACATTATTCTATGGCCGGTTTAAGAAGGCTCGTACAACGTGAAAAATCAATACTTTACCGATTGAATTAGGGAAATATCTTCGTTAACTAATCTATTTATTATTGACGAAAATAAAATTATTTTTCCAATGCCTTCAAAATATAGTTTTTTCCGCCTGTCAACCACTTTATGGAGTACATTGGGAATAAAGAAGGGTTTTCGTGAACATGGAACTAGAACTCGTAAATGATGTCGGATTAACTTGATATTTTGTACAGATATGTTTTCTAATTCAAGGAACATGAATATAATGTCAAAATTAGAAAATTTCCACGTGAAACAAAAAGAAATGGCGGTCTTTTTGTTTAAACCTGGGAATTTATAAATTTGACAAAACATTAACTTCGAAAACGATATAAACCTCATAAAACGAATAATTTTAGGTACCTATGTAAAACCGTATATATATATTACTACATATAAATGTTAACTTTTTTAATTCTAAAATCACAATAAATTACAATATATAATTATAATGTATGTATATGTAATAACTTAAAAAGTGTATCGTTTTATAATAGTTCTTATGAAATAATAAACTCTTCATTTTATTTTTAATACAACAAAAATTAAAAACCATCGATCAAGACATTTTGAATACCATCGATACTTCCTCACATTTTCCAATGAAAAAATACTTATTTTTCTGATTAATTGTAAAGATTATATTAACAACAACGCTCTGAATCTAGTCGTTCTCATTAATCTATGGGCTCAGGAGCTTTCAAATTACTTTTTCAAGTGACATTATTTCTGATAATGATTGAACCGAAGGGGCTTTGATCCTGAAGGAGCCTCAACTGTTCCTGTATAAGCTAACAGATAAATATTGAAAAGATTACAACTAAATACTGACCTGTTAAACATCCATCTACTTGTTGGAAGCTGATAGAAATAGGATACCAAGAAAGTCGATATAACAGAAGACAAAAATGTTGCGGTTATCAACTTATATAAGTGACGTGGCCACCTGCTTATCACTATGACGACAAAAGGTGATACAAAAAAGAACAGTTGCCAATCCGCACTGAGGTACCAGCTGACCGACATGCACTGCAAAGTGATAACATTATTTGAATTTGTAGATGAGATGAATCGGTTCTTCCTTCATCTTGATATAAAATTATGTGGTTTAAGACAGTACACTTCTAGGGAACATGTGTTTCACGAGATAGTTTGGATAAGAATCTTATTACATGATGTTAATAACAACACCCTCAACGACCTCCGACCTCTTGAGAATGCCCTTCCCTTCAGAAATGTATTATTATATAAGGAAGGGGCTGGGGTCGCGATTTGTAGTCTCTGACCTGATAAACTCAAATTCGATTCACGGTGCCGGGGACGTTTACTTCTGACAATAAGCCTGGCCCGGGAAAATCACGTAAAGCCGGAAAGAGAAGAAAAGAAAAGAAATTAAAAAATCAGGTGCGGTGCATGCATCACATACTTTTCACTTATAAGCAGAAATAAGTATTTTCAGATAAAGAGAATTAAAATTACAAATTATAGAAGGTAAGAAATATTATTTAACATTATTTTATAAACATCTGATGTGTTTATGAAGAGAAGCCGGTTGGAGTGATCAGTCAAAACTACAAAGTAAAAGTAAATAAATGATATTTATTTTTGCTGACGTTTCGGCCCAAAGTTTAGATTTTCATCAGGGATAAAAAAACAAAACAGAAAGACCACATAACGATAGGTATGAGAAACTATTAACATTACAAGGAAAATAATAATATGTCCTAATAATATAACAGTAACAGAGTGGAACTTATGAAACAAATAATAACGCAACTAAGTTTTGGAGTAATGAAATAATCATAATGAATAAAATAAACATAAGCAATGAAAAATTAATTAACAAAGAAATGTAATGAAATATTTTGAGATAAAATGAAGAGTTAAATATAGAATAAATGGGATGATGTATTTGCTAAAATATGATGCATTACAATGCAAAAAGAAGTGAGAGAGACAGAATAAAATGTAAAACAAATAAAAACAATATCAAAATTAAGATACTACACGGACGGATCTACGGGGGAGGGACTTTCGGGCTGAAGCCCCCCCTCCCAAATGGAAAAATACAACCATGTTTTATGGAAAAAAAAATTTTAAAAATACTTAAAGTATTATTGTTCGTGTAATTACATTTAAAAAGACTTAAGGAATCACTTAAACACCATTTCATATAGGTGGTTAGTTTCTTTCTGTTTTTCCAAAGTAATTATTGTTATTTTTATGAAAAAAGAAGGTTTCGGGCTGAAGCCCCCCCCCCCCAAAATTAAATCCTGGATCTAAAGCTAGTGAGATACTATACAATTTATCAAAACATTCTACATGGAAGAGAATTAAGAAGTTAAAACTATGTAAATTATGAAAATAAGATGTAATAGAGAAAATGTATCGCTATACACAAAATAGAGACAAAGAAAAGAAAGTAACCAGAAAAAGGTAAATGAGGAGAATACTGAGATAAAAGAAGAAGACAGAACTGATCTGACGAATGGTTCCGGTGAGAGATAACAAACATCTTTTGCAACTAACATCTCTTCATCTTATTAACAGCTTATTGTCCCTTCCAAAACAAATACATTTTGAAAATTAGGCATTTGAACCCTGTTAAAGATCATCAATCAGATTAAGACCTATATTATATTAATAACTAAGCGATCGAAATCCGACCATAATCATTTTTGAAAATTTGAGAAATTCATAAACAAATCTACCCTTATATATTGGTACCTAAATACACGTCTATTTGTACTTGCAGTACAATTTTTGTACTTTCTGAGATATTTCCAAATAAAATATGCAATAAAAATATCTTGTCGGACCTTGCAGATTTCAATCATTTTATTTGTGGAGATTTTAGGAATCTTTCAAATACCCCTAGGTTTAATAAACCAAAAATTGAGTAGTTTTTGACTGACAACACACGTTTTTCGTTCATTTCCATTCTAAAGGCTTGAATTTGAATTAAAAGTTTCATTAAAATTTCAAAGCAATCGGTGAAAAACTTTTGGAGAATAGGTTATTTAAACATTTACAGTTGTAATTATACTCTGTTGACAAAATTTCTTTACTGGTAGCAATAAAGTTGGTCAATAGCTACCAGACAAAAAAAAAAATAAGTGCTTGAGAAACAGAGAAAAAAATGTTACTAAATTGTTTTGTCTTTGCCGTTTTATATAATAATTGTTAAACGTACTTATCATACGTTAAATTACGTTGTCTCTGAATAATAGTATAAAGCATGTAAATAAAGGTATGTAAAACTGTATAGAAAAAATCTTTTCTCCCTGGGGAGTCATGGATCCCTCACCATCAAACACAAAATTGATTGGTCCGCTGATATGATCCTATTTGATTGGTCCGCTGATATATGGTATTAGTTGCTCATATGATTCTTGGTGGTGACCAAGTTGATACACAGTTTCAGTTTAGATTCAGATAAGATTGAGTATTGCCATACCTATAAGTGTTGAGCAATAAATTTAGTGTTAAGGAGATTATTTGAAATGAAATGAAAAATGAAAATGAAAAGAAAAAATAATTTTATTCTGGGACTACTGTCCCCTAAGAATAATAACAGAGTTACAAATTTATGTATCTAAGTCTGACATAATAAAAATACCAACTAATTTATTGTTAATTGTTATTTCAATTGTGCAATGGACTGAAATTAAACATTGTATAGATGTAAGTAATTTTACATGTTAGGGGAAGTTTGAATGTGGAGTAGGTGGTGAAACAGGAGTTGTTTGAAGGAATTTGTGGACGAGGATTGACGCATGGAGGTAGGGAGTGAGTTCCATAAGGAAGCAGCACGAATGACGAAGGATTTGCTGAAGGAGGAGGTTTTATGAGAGGGAATATATAAGTTTTGAGAGAGTTGATAGAGGAGCATAGAGTAAGAAGTTCCAGGATGTAGGGAGGGTTTTTGGTTCTGAAGACTTGGAAAAGGAAAACACCAAGGAGGTATTGTCGTCGGGAAGTAGGATAAAGCCACTTCAACTCGGTGTACCAGAGTGAAACATGTGAACGCCTGGAGATCCCGAAAATGTATCTTATGAAACAATTCATGAGTCTCTTTAGTCTCATTTCCAGCCTGGCAGATAGCCCTCCATACACCAAGCAGCCGTAGACGAAGTGGGGGAATACAAGAGAGGTTACAAGGAGCTGTCTGGTTTTTAGAGGAATACAATCACGGAATCTTAGGAGTTGTTTAAGGGCAGTTATGGATTTTCGGGTAATCTGGGAGATATGATTATTCCAGGACAGGTTCTGGTCAAAGGTTACTCCTAGGTTTTTGACAGTAGAGAAAAAATGGATGGGATGGTTATTGAGGTAAAGTAGAGGAAAGTAAGGAAGGGAGCTGATGAGATGTCTAGACCCGATGATAATAGCCTTGGTTTTATCTGTATTCAGCTTTAATTCATTTATTTTTCCCCATCTGTTGATGCAGTCGATGTCTTCCGGGCAGCCTTAGGCATCTCAGAAGGTTGGAATGATTGGTATATTTGGAAATCATCGGCATATAGGTGGTAATTGGAGTGTTGAATGGCGTTAGGAAGGTCACTAATATAGATGGAGAAAAGGGTCGGGGAGAGTGAGGAACCCTGAGGAGCTCCTCGCGTTAATTGAAGGGATGATGATGGAGGTTTATTCGGTATTGTAACTGTCTGAGATCGATTGGATAAGAAGGATAGGAACAATTTTAGGACGCTGTTTGATATGGGCAGGCTTTGGAGTTTAGAAAGAAGGATCTCATGATTAACGGAATCAAACGCCTTGGAAAAGTCAAAAAGAATTAGGATGGAGAATTTCTGTTTATCTATGGCGGATTGGAGGTCTTGGGTAATCCTTAGCAAGGCAGACTGGGTGGAATACTGGGATCGGAAACCAGATTTTCCATTTGAATTTAGGATTAGGTTCTTGGGATAAAACTTTATTGAAGTACTGGGCTTTGGCGCGACGTAGGGTCATTTGTGTGAGATCTCGCAGGGATTTAAATGTGGAATAATGCTGAGGTAGTCTAGTACGTCTGTATCGTCTTCTAGCAGTTTCTCTTCTCCTCATTAGTTCTCTTATTTCTGTATTGATCCAAGGAGCGGGAGGACGTCTAAAGACACGTGTTTTTAGAGGTGCGTGACGATTGAGGAAATCGAGGAGGTTGGAGGAAAGGCATTCAACCATATCATCGATGGAAGGGAGAGAGAATAGATGGGTTCTAAGCAAGTGGAAAGAGAATCGAGGAAGGGGCTAATGTTTTGAGTGGTTAAGGAATCTAGATCTCTCCAGGAAATTTGTTTGGATTTAGATGAAGGAGTAGATAAGTTGTATATTATTTCAATAAGATCGTGGGATGAAAGCAAGGGAACTGGAATTTGCGTAGAGGATAATAGGTTATGGGAGGAATCAATAATAAATAAATCTAGCCAAGTACCAGTGGATTGGGTATGATGGGTGGGCTGAACTGGTACAATAAATAGATCTAAGGAAAAAACTAGCTATAAAAAAAGCTAGGATGGTAAGATATAAGATAAGAGATTATTCAGTATTTATATTCCGTAATTTATATATATTTCTTGTTTGTCCACGTTTCAAAGTCCCTATGATGTGACAAAAATATGGTTTCCGCCGGAAATTCATCTCCCAGCACTAGCGGATCCAGGATTTAATTTTGGGGGAGACTTCAGCCCGAAAGCTTTTTTTCCATAAAAATAACGAAATTACTTTGGAAAAAAAGAAAGAAACTAACTACTTATATGAAATGGTGTTTAAGTGATTCCTAAAGTCCTTTTAAATGTAATTACACGAACAATAATATTTTAACAGATAATCTTTAAATTTTTTTTTCCATAAAACATGGTTATATTTTACCATTTTGGGAGAGAGGGGGTGGCTTCAGCCCCAAAGCCTCTCCCCTTAGATCCGCCCGTGTCTCCCAGTCGTGTTTGTTGTTGGAATATTAAAAAAATAAATCCAAATCTCTTAATAATTTGTCCCCCTAGAAGTTTGACGTTTTGGCTATAAACATGAATAATCATGCTTAATGTTAAACTTACCAACTTGAACATTCCTGGATAAAGATTGTTGATGTAGAGTACATTAGTCCACCAGTAGCTGACGCACGATTGTTTTTCCTGATCAATGATGTAACTACAAAGCGGCCCATCACACAGCTTATTAGCAAAAGTTGAAATTACGACTACCGTTGCCAAATATGGAGGCGTCAATCTGAAACATATATACAGGCATAAGTAAAAGTATAATTCTTAAAGACAGTGGTCGAGGATAGAGGAGGGGAGAGGTGGACTACTTTGTGAGATTTGGCCATTGGAAAACTCGGAACCGATTTTTTTACTATCGCAATATTTAACCTTATCAGGTATAATTATATACTCGTATATGTGTGCACTGATTTCCACTACTCTCGGTCCAGCTGTGAGCTGTGGGAGGTGATTATGTTTTCTGTTACATCAACCCTGGATCGACCCTTCTCGAATCACAGATGTTATATATCATATTGTATTGATAGCAAGTGCTCTACCTACCAGTTTATTAATATCGAATATTGTACTTATTGTCATCAATAAATGGTTCAGTTTATGTGTTGATTCAGTATTGTATAATTTCATCGAATTGCTGCATTACAAATGGCGAGGATAATTGTTCAATTTATAATGGCCTCTAGTATTTACTCGTTTATGTGACATTGTGTGGGGGAATGAGAAGGAATATATAGGAATATGAGGTTTGAACTGAAGCTATGAATTGTACTCAATTGTGCAGTGAACAAATTATTCATTGAAAAATCTCATATCGATAAACAATCGACGAAGAAAGAAGAAGCTTGAAAAAGGACCGAGCAGGTAGCAGCAGCTGGAGGAGGACGCCAGAGAGAAAAGAAGGTCCTCGAGGCAGGGCATGAAGGAAGGAGGTTACCTGATAAGAGAAGGTACTCGAGGCAGGGTATGAAGGAAGGAGGTTACCTGATAAGAGAAGGTACTCGAGGCAGGGCATGAAGGAAGGAGGTTACCTGATAAGAGAAGGTACTCGAGGCAGGGTATGAAGGAAGGAGGTTACCTGATAAGAGAAGGTACTCGAGGCAGGGTATGAAGGAAGGAGGTTACCTGATAAGAGAAGGTACTCGAGGCAGGGCATGAAGGAAGGAGGTTACCTGATAAGAGAAGGTACTCGAGGCAGGGTATGAAGGAAGGAGGTTACCTGATAAGAGAAGGTACTCGAGGCAGGGCATGAAGGAAGGAGGTTACCTGATAAGAGAAGGTACTCGAGGCAGGGTATGAAGGAAGGAGGTTACCTGATAAGAGAAGGTACTCGAGGCAGGGTATGAAGGAAGGAGGTTACCTGATAAGAGAAGGTACTCGAGGCAGGGCATGAAGGAAGGAGGTTACCTGATAAGAGAAGGTCCTCGAGGCAGGGTATGAAGGAAGGAGGTTACCTGATAAGAGAAGGTACTCGAGGCAGGGCATGAAGGAAGGAGGTTACCTGATAAGAGAAGGTACTCGAGGCAGGGCATGAAGGAAGGAGGTTACCTGATAAGAGAAGGTACTCGAGGCAGGGCATGAAGGAAGGAGGTTACCTGATAAGAGAAGGTACTCGAGGCAGGGCATGAAGGAAGGAGGTTACCTGATAAGAGAAGGTACTCGAGGCAGGGCATGAAGGAAGGAGGTTACCTGATAAGAGAAGGTACTCGAGGCAGGGCATGAAGGAAGGAGGTTACCTGATAAGAGAAGGTACTCGAGGCAGGGCATGAAGGAAGGAGGTTACCTGATAAGAGAAGGTACTCGAGGCAGGGTATGAAGGAAGGAGGTTACCTGATAAGAGAAGGTACTCGAGGCAGGGCATGAAGGAAGGAGGTTACCTGATAAGAGAAGGTACTCGAGGCAGGGCATGAAGGAAGGAGGTTACCTGATAAGAGAAGGTACTCGAGGCAGGGCATGAAGGAAGGAGGTTACCTGATAAGAGAAGGTACTCGAGGCAGGGCATGAAGGAAGGAGGTTACCTGATAAGAGAAGGTACTCGAGGCAGGGTATGAAGGAAGGAGGTTACCTGATAAGAGAAGGTACTCGAGGCAGGGCATGAAGGAAGGAGGTTACCTGATAAGAGAAGGTACTCGAGGCAGGGCATGAAGGAAGGAGGTTACCTGATAAGAGAAGGTACTCGAGGCAGGGTATGAAGGAAGGAGGTTACCTGATAAGAGAAGGTACTCGAGGCAGGGCATGAAGGAAGGAGGTTACCTGATAAGAGAAGGTCCTCGAGGCAGGGTATGAAGGAAGGAGGTTACCTGATAAGAGAAGGTACTCGAGGCAGGGCATGAAGGAAGGAGGTTACCTGATAAGAGAAGGTACTCGAGGCAGGGCATGAAGGAAGGAGGTTACCTGATAAGAGAAGGTACTCGAGGCAGGGCATGAAGGAAGGAGGTTACCTGATAAGAGAAGGTACTCGAGGCAGGGCATGAAGGAAGGAGGTTACCTGATAAGAGAAGGTACTCGAGGCAGGGTATGAAGGAAGGAGGTTACCTGATAAGAGAAGGTCCTCGAGGCAGGGAATGAAGGAAGGAGGTTACCTGATAAGAGAAGGTACTCGAGGCAGGGCATGAAGGAAGGAGGTTACCTGATAAGAGAAGGTACTCGAGGCAGGGTATGAAGGAAGGAGGTTACCTGATAAGAGAAGGTACTCGAGGCAGGGCATGAAGGAAGGAGGTTACCTGATAAGAGAAGGTACTCGAGGCAGGGCATGAAGGAAGGAGGTTACCTGATAAGAGAAGGTACTCGAGGCAGGGCATGAAGGAAGGAGGTTACCTGATAAGAGAAGGTACTCGAGGCAGGGCATGAAGGAAGGAGGTTACCTGATAAGAGAAGGTACTCGAGGCAGGGTATGAAGGAAGGAGGTTACCTGATAAGAGAAGGTACTCGAGGCAGGGTATGAAGGAAGGAGGTTACCTGATAAGAGAAGGTACTCGAGGCAGGGCATGAAGGAAGGAGGTCACATGAGAAGAGAAGTCTACTACACTGAAGATCAAACCTATAGTTAGAACACTTTAATAGATTCAATTAATTACAGTTGTGGAAATAAATTATTTTTTTATACAGGAGTGAATAGTCCTTTTATTTATTTATTTTATATGCCTCACAATCGAAGAATAACAAACCAGGTGAGTCAATTCATTCAAAGCGTGTTCAGTAGGTCCCACTTTTCAGATATATATATACTTATTACATCTTGTCACTCAGTGTCACAAAAGAATTAGGTTCTCGAATTCCCAACGACAGTTAAACACCCACAAAAAGTCTATATCCAGTACCGGGGTTTTGTTTTAAGAAAATTAAATTCACGAGTGTAAATAACCTAGTCCCCCGACTAAGCGGAAGGTATGTTCACTATTGCAGCCAAACAGGTTATTCACAATTAACCCTTAATAGGTTATTTACAATTAACCCTTAATAGGTTATTTAGAATTAACCCTTAATAGGTTATTTACAATGGTGTCAGTATTCATGCTATTTTTATGATGATATCATCGTTTACTCAACATCTGATGAGCGAATTGATTTGGGCGCCCGAAACAACAGTTATGCCTCTTTAAAACTCCCGAGATCCGAGTGTGCGTTCCTCCTTTTTCAAATAAACTTCTTAGGACAAGACGTGCTGTAGGCCCAAATAGATTCCACTGCCACATAGAGGCTGTTTTAATTGCACCTTCGCCTTCTACCCCTGAAGAAATTCCATCTTTTTTAGGCAAAGTTGCCTACTAGCATGCTTTTATTCCAAATTTATCCACCATCACTGCACCACTCGCGGAGACACTCATCTATTCAAAATTTAACTGGTCCGAAGATGCCAAAAATTCATATGATCGCCTGAAAAACTAACTTCTAAAAGATAACTTAGGACCTATGACCCGAAACTTCCTCTAATCCTCGCTGCAGACGGTCGCACGATAGGTTCTGAGCCGTATTGTTTCATAGTGAGCCTGAAGGTTCAGAGCGTCCAATCGCTTGCGTTCCCCCGTGGCACTGAGATCTTTACTACTCTTGATGCCACAGAGGAACTCATCACACAAGTAGACCGTGGAGCACTTGCTATTATTTGGGGTGTAAAACAAATCTTTCAACATCTTTATACCCGTTAATTTACCATATACACAGATAACAAACCCATTTCTCACATTTTTGGCACAAAAACCCAAATATTTGAGTTCACACTTCCCGTTACAACAATTAGGTAAGCTATCTTCCTAATTTCAATTATGACATAAGCATTTTAGCGGCCGTTCACTAAGAGTTTTTGGTTATTCAGAGTTATTGTTTTATTGACAGTTATTAATAAAATTTATTTAAATTAATTCTGAAAAAATATTGCCGGCACCTGACAACATTTGCCTGCAAAAACGTGTGGCCAACACCGACTTCCTTTCTAAAACTGTCAGATCTTCCAATAATGAAAAGTCTTCGTTTGAAGCTAATCAACATCAATTACAGGATCCTATCAATGACTTGGACAAATGTGTGTAACATCAGCTTCCTGAAATTGTCCTTACTCCTAAGGGGATTGCTAAGGAAACTCTCCATGATCCACTCATTACTCCAGCATTACTGCCTGAGGTATTGGAAAGGAAAAATTCAAGGGAAGAGAAGCAGAATAAATCGCCCCTGATGGATGTCTTAGCCTTCGCCAAAGAGCTGTTGTCCCACCTAGGCTTCGTCAAACACCCTTAAAAAAACTCCACCTAGGTCATATTGGAGCACAGGCGGATTTACGGGGGGGACTTTCGGGCTGAAGCCCCTCCCCCAAAATGGTAAAATGTAGCCATGTTTTATGGTAAAAAAACAATAAAAAATTATGTCTTAATGTATTATTGCTCGTCTAATTACATTTAATAGGACTTCAAGACTCACTTAAACACCATTTCATACAGGTAGTTAGTATCTTTCTGTTTTTCTAAAGTAATTATCGTTATATATATGAAAAAAAAAAGCTTCCGGGCTGAAGCCCCCCCCCCAAAATTAAATTCTGGATCCGCCAGTGTATTGGAGTAGTTAAAATCAAAGAGTTGGCTCGTTCTCTCATTTATTGGGCAAATGTAGTCGAGTTGAAAATGTACACATCCATTATTGTTCAACATTTGGTAAGAACTTGCTGATAATCGTTGACGCAAACTCGAAATGGATGGATATCGCCAACTACTTCTCAAGCCACAGCCGATGTTCTTGAAGAGGAATTAGCTCAGTTCGGAGTTTCCTTTCGGAGTTGTTTCTGACAATGGGCCTCGGGCGAGAAATGTGGTGCCTTTTAACCCATTTATCTTACCTCCCACAGTTTCCTTTTTATGCAGGATAATGCTCGGCCGCACATCTAAAATGTTGTACGATGTGGCACTGCACTAAAATGTTGGCGTGGCATGTGGCACAGCAGGAGGACACGCCCTAATGAAGACCTCCAAGGTGGGTCGAAACGTCGGCGTAAGAATTAAAAATACTACTTTTTAAAAATTTAGTATTTATTTGACTGCACTCCCCTCCCCAACTCCTTTTCATATTATATCACCGTCAACCAACTCTACATCATTTTTAACTTTAAATTACCTACGCATTTCAACGGGATTGATATCAGCAAGAAATTATTGAAAGATATGAAAGATAGCTGAATTATAAGAAAGCATTTTCTCGCTGGTCGACTTACCTCAAGTACCTGTGAGTGTAGTAACTGACCAAATTGAATTTCTTTCTTTTTTCTAAGCAGTTCCACGTCAGTAATACTCCACTGATAACAAAAAATGTGTCAACAGCAAGAACCGTCTCTGTCTCTAGGACTCCTCTCCAGGATCTAAGAAACTAACCAATAAGGCTCAATTAATCCAACAATAAGTGGAGCGGTCCAGTCGGTATAATCTCTTTACGTATCATTACAGGCGCTTTTGGACATGAAGATGAGATTAAAGTGATATGAAATCTACTAAGTAAAAAATTAATCACTATATTCTTTTTACTATCTCCCACCTATATATGAAATATATAGTATGAGTAAGAATTGCGGTCGTGAAAATTTTCGAATCTGCGTTTTCAAAGGAAATACAGGTCTCCTGAGTCCAAATAACCAAGTCCTGCAAAATGGTCTATGTGTATATGTGTATGTCGTATTTAAGATAGGTATATGCATTAGATGTCATAGCAACTTTTTCCTTAAAATCGGCTAGCCGGAAGTGCCACTTTATATCAACGGTGAAACACATTTTTACAATTTTCTCAAAAACGGTTTTGATTAAACTCAGTGTATCATTGTATAATTAAGTGGTCTTTAATATCATTTAGGTCTTATCCCCATTGATGTCACTTTTTATTTCCTACCGTCGATATAATAAATAGAGTTTTGTAATTTTATTGGTCTTAATGATTTGTTATCTGTAAGCTTTAAGCTTTAGCTCCCTTTAAAAAGCACTTCAAAAATTTTATAATAGCCAAACATTGACAGAAAATAATTTCGATTCAAAGTAGAAGAGTAAGTGAAAGTTGTGTGTTGCGCGCAACAGATTTTTTCTTAAGCTCAATATGGAAAGCATTGAAATCCTTAAAAAATATTTGTCAAAGTCTTACCTAGTGCTTGCATATTTAACTGATATTCCATGGCCTCGAGAAAATAGTGCTCAGAAATGTCCATTCTCTTCGTCGCCTCATGTCTAAACATTTCTATTTTTTCCTGGCGATGAGGTGGTTTTTTGACAAGTGCATGTAAATTTAGAGCCAGCCGCAGATAGTTTGGTAGGGGAAATCCGAGTTACAAGTTCATTTTAGATAAATAACCTTAATACATCAATAAATCATAGTTGATTTTGCTCAAGTATAGACAAATAGCAAAACATTAAATATTAATGTTAAAGTTCTAAAACTTTTATCCTGTAAATTTCTCTAAATTTGTCCGATAAATAGGAGTCAAAGTTTTATTGTAATGCAAACTAGTAATTAAACTATCTTATTTTGCTTTTTATAACTTCACTTTATAAACAATAAATACAGCATTACTTTTCTCTACCAATTTCCTCTGTAATCGATTGTTTTAAAATTTAATAAAACTATCAGGCAACAAATATGTACTCATATCGTTCCAAGAAAATTTGTTTAAAGTTTTAAAGGTATTTTTTAAGTTATCGTTAGTTTTCTAGTTGGAATGAATTTCGGTTTTGAGTAAAAAAAAAAAAAAAAAAAACCTAATTACAGTTTAACTCTTTTCTCACTCCAGTTATTGTTAAAATATCAATAGTATTAGTAATATTATAATATTAGTATAGCATTAATATTAGTATAGCATTAGTAAATTTGTATAATAATACTTTATTTTTTTGAGAGGGTGGAGGAATTATATTATAAGCATATTATGAGTACGAAAAGCAGTCCATCTGATTGTAGACCAACTGATTATAGACCATCTGATTGTAGAGCAACTTAAAGACATAAACATCTTCATCAACCCCCTTCAAGCTGAGGCCATCACATTCTCATGCAAGAAAACGACTGAAAAACACCCTGAACTAAACGGAGAAAACATTAAAACAAAAATCTGGTGTGTCCATTCACACGACTTTCCCACCTATTTCAGAAAAGTTTTTATATCTTTAAATATATCCGAAAAAACAAAAACAAAAACAAAAAATGAATTAGATTTATTTTCCTGAAAATCGACCAAAAAAAGGATTTGAGTACGATTTCTTTGATAAACAAAAGCGATGTAAACCAGCTTGTGAAAAATTAGCGTACAAAATTCATTCCCCCCAAATATTGCTAATCAAAAACTTTTTTACCTTATCCCCATATTGTCGAACAATAATTTCTGTTAAAAGTCGAAAGAAATGTGAAAGTTGTGTGATGCGGGTAACAGATTTTCTTTTTTCACTCACTTTTATTTGTTCTCTCTCATTCACCTCTTCCTGACACCAAAATATGAACCCGTAATCTTACATTGGAAATTGAATAGCTGTAACTTCGTTAATAGTTGTCCGAAATGAACGATTTTTATATAGTTTTGCAGAGAATTTCACCACCTTTAAAAAAACACAGAGGCTCGGGATAACTGAAACGCATAGATCCGTCGAAAACCGCATGTCGGAAATTTGACCCGATGGCAATACTTTCCTTAGTCTTAGTATAGGACTACCCAATTTGTGTCACAGGTATCAGTAGTCAAAATCCTACAAAATAAAAAAAGAAGCAACAAAATCGGACCAACAATTCCATATAATTCATATAATATACGTATTTCATGTTTATCCGTTGAAGAGGTATCGACAAAAAATTTCGAATTTTTTGTTCAATCTGAGGAAATATTTCTTACTTTGATTATTATTAATTATTTTTAAAATTTAATAAAGCTATTATTCCAAAATTAAACTTACCTCGTAATAAGAAAACTTGTTTAAAGCTGGATATTTAAGGTTGAACCCATCGACGACGACATGGCACCACACAACGACAAATTGGCTCAGAACGCGAAGCCCGTCAAGGCATGCCAGTTCCCTGGACCTCGTGTCGATCTTGAGCAAGCTCGATAAATTCTTTTGAAGGCTGAAGCAGTCCCATATCTTATAAAAAACTATAATAAAAAATCAATTTTATACTGCAATACTAAGAAATGGAATATTTTATATGCTAATAAAAATAATACAGTTTCTTATAAAATCAAACATTAGTCAATATTCATTAAAATAACTCCAAGTGTTCATAATTTCTATATATTTTTCCTTATTTTCTTTCTTCTTTTACCTAGATTAATCACTTCTCTCCGGGATTTTTTCATTCAATAATCCCATGTAAGTACGAGGCGACCTATTCTTCAAATACAAAAAAAAATATATATTGATAAGGCCACAATTAGTGACGTAGGATTTTGAAAGCCAGCCAAGTTTTGAGTACCTCTAAGCTTCATACTCAAAATTTAAAAATGTTATGCGCTATATACAATAACACAATTTTAACTATTTATATAAAAAAATAAAATAAAATGTATTTAATTACGACATGTAGTATAATTTTCTTTTCTGTTTCCTTTCTCAATAATTGGAAACTTAGCTTCTTAAATTATAATCTATAGAAATCAAGTCTACCAAAGGAGAAAGAAGAAAGAACACTTAAAAAAATAAAAATTCACTAGGCTTTTATAAGAATCGTTAAGCAGTTATCAATGTGATGTGTGTATAAAGATCAGCCCAGCTTGACGGCTAACATATTAATCTGGCCACAATTCATCCGGATAAAATTGGACGACTCTCCTACGATAAAGGTAACATCGGCAGCTTTTTGCAAGCTATCACTCAACGACGCTAGTGGATCCAGGATTTAATTTTGGGATGGGCTTCGGCCCGAAAACTTTTTTTTCTTATATATATTTATCAGATTCTTGAAGTACTGTTAATGTAATCACACACGAACAATAATACTTTGAGAGATAATTTTTTAATATTATTTTGCACTAAACATGATTATATTATGCCATTTTTTGGGGGAGGGGCTTCAGCCGAAAGCTCCTCCCCCCGTAGATCCGCCTATGCTAAAGGATAAATTAACAAATCCTGTTGATTTCTGAAAGTGGAACAAATAAATAAAAGTTGTTTTTCTTTGAGACCGTCTTATACGGGTACCCATTGCCCCACCTTTTATTTTTATTTTTTTTTTTTATTTCTTTATGACATTTACAACTGTATTACATAAATACATCAAGTAAATTTGAACATAATTGATATAATGACATGAATATACTTGCTGAGTAACTACCCAATGGTAGCACTCTAATGATATGACTAAATTAGGAGATCACGGGGCCATCTTCTTTTCAGACGCCTCGGAGGGTTATCAGGAATTGAAGAGGAAGCAAGGTTAGAAACGAGAGGGTTGGGATGATTCTGAAGTTTATTATGGAAGGATAGGTATCTGGATTGGGCCAGATCTGAAACATAAGGAACATTAAGATCTTTATGGATAATTTTATTAGTGACAAAGTAAGGAGCATTGAGGATTTTACGAAGGATTTTGGATTGTAAGGATTGGATGCGAGAGGAATTCGATGGTTTAGTGGAGCCCCATAGCTCAACTCCGTAAGTCCAAATAGGTCTTATTATAGTCAAGTATATGAGTCTTTTGTAATTAATGGGAAGTTTAGAGCGTTTGTCTAGTAAGTGCTGAAGTAATCGGAAACGTCGAGCGGTTTCTTGTCGTTTCAGTCTAGTATGAGGATTCCAAGTTAGTCGTTTGTCCAGGTGGAGTCCTAGGTATCGGATTTGCTCAACAGGGATAAGTGGAGTATTGTTAAAGGAAACTGTAGGACAGGAAGTCGTTGGTTTACGACGAAGGGTAAAGGTAATTTGGTGGGATTTATTGGAGTTTATTTTAATTCTCCAGTTTTGACACCATTCTTCTAGATTTATGATGTGTGATTGAAGCATTTGGGATGCAATTGCTGGGTCATTGTTTACTGATAGGATACATGTGTCATCGGCATATGTGGTGATGACAGTGTTGGGATGGGTTGGGATGTCAGCTGTATAAACTGTATAGAGGATAGGACCTAGGATACTACCTTGAGGAACACCAGCGGACTGGGAAAAAAGGGATGAATAGGCGTTATTGTGATTTACTTTAAAGTATCTATCAGTAAGGTAAGAACGGATAATGAGGAAGTATGTAGGTGGTAGGAATTTTCGGAGTTTGTACAGCAGTCCCGGGTGCCAAACTCTATCAAACGCCTGTTCAACGTCGAGAAAGACTCCCGTACAGTACATTCCGCGCTCCAATGCAGAGGATACTACGTCTACCACACGATGACATTGCTGTATAGTGGAATGGGAAGTTCGGAAACCAAATTGGTGATCTGGGATTATGTGTTTAGAATTTAGGATAGGGTACAGGCGTTTTAAGATGAGTTTTTCTAGGATCTTGCCCATGATGGGTAAAAGAGAGATAGGACGGTAAGAGGATGGGTATTCTGGTGGTTTTTTGGGTTTGTGGATCATTTTAACAATAGATCGTTTCCAAGGATCAGGAAAATATGTAGAACGGAGTACAGCATTATATATGTAAGTAAGGAATAGGATGGCTTTTCGAGGAAGAAGTTTTAGGATCTGGGATGTAATTAGATCATGTCCAGGAGCTTTACGGGAAGGCAATTTTTGAATGATGTTGGATATTTCTATGGGATGAAATGCTTTGGGTGGCAGAGACATTTGGAGAGGAATATCCAGTTCTGCCTCAATACAATTGATGTGAGTCGAATTAAGGATATCGGGATGTGGGTTAAAAGTTTGGAAGAGATGTTGACCAAATAGTTGGGCTTTTTCTTCGTCGGATTTGGACCAGGTTTGGGAATCAGTAAGTAGTGGGTGATTAAAGTCTTGAAACTTAAGAAGTTTTTTGGTGGTCATCCATAATGATTTGTCAGTGGTTGAAAGTTTTTCAGTAAAATTTAGTAAATTTTGAATTTTGTATTTTCTTATTTCTGATTTCAGTTTGTTAGTCAGTTGGGTGTAATGCGATTTATCTGTTGGGTATCTAGTCCTATGCCACTTCGATCTTGCTCTGCGTTTTTCCTGTAATAAGATACGAATATGCTGTGGCAAGTTAGTATTTTGTGGGAAGTTAATCTTATTGATAAATGTGTTATTATTTATACTGTCTGTTATTGATGATGTCAGTTTTTCTATGGCACAATTAATGTCTTCTTTTGTCTTTAGCGGGATTTTGAGGTCGAGTTTGTTTTCCAAATCATCACGAAATTTGTCCCAGTTTACTCGTCCAGTGATCAGTTTAGGAAGTGATGGTTTAGGAGCAAAGTCAGAATGTAGTGAAAGCAGAACTGGACTATGGTCTGAAGAAAGGTCATCCAGGGATTTGATTATAGTTTGGGAGGAGGAAATCTGGGAGGTGATAAATATGTCCAGGATATCGGGACGTTTTTTGAGGGATGTTGGAAAATAAGTAGGATTCATGGGCGAGAGGATGGAATAATTGTTGGAAGAAGAAACTTGTGAAAGGGTATTACCACGGGAGTTGGATGATCGACAACCCCATCGTTGGTGTTTAGCATTGTAGTCTCCTCCAGCAATAAAGCGCGATCCGAGGGATTGTAATAAGGATTCAAGTAGGCTGTACGAGAGGGAATTGCCAGGAGGACAGTATACAGCTGAAAGTGTTAGATGGAAAGGACGAGTTGAGAGGATTACAGAAGTTGACTGAATGGCATCTGTTGGAATAGAAGGAATAAGTGAATGGGGTAAAGATTTGTGGATAAGGATGCAAGAACCGGCGTGGGCAGTGTTGTCTGGGTGGTCAGATCTATAGGTGATGTAGTCACGTATGTAGAAATGTGTCCGTTGGGTGAAGTGAGTTTCTGTCAGGAGAGCAATGTCAATATAATTGTCATGGAGAAATATGTCTAGTTCGTCACGGTGGTTTTGCAGTCCATTAGCGTTCCATAAGAGAATAGCTAGGGACTTCGTGTTCATCGAGGGAAGCTAAGCGGGATTTCGGAAAGGAGTCTGGTTAGAAGGGTTATGAGCGGTTTGATAGTCTGTTGAAGATCTATCAGGAAACCTTTTATTTAACTTTAAACTTTAGTTCAATTACCGGTGTTGTGTTTATTTATTTAGATTGGAGTGAAAATAAACGATAGTTACGGTTAAAAGGATAATTTAAATGTTTATTTCTTATCTGTATATACAAAATTAAAAATTTAAAACAATTAAAACGAAGATTTAATATTTAATGTAATTTTTTTTACTATTGTGGTTGGAGGTATTTTTCGAAACTAATCAGTACAGAATCTTATTTATGTTCAATATAATTGTTAAAACTAAATTTTATAGTATGTCCAGTTAAAGGAGATATTAGTACATACCTAGGAATTGTTCTGACATACAAACAAAACTTAAAATATTTTTTAATCACCATTAGGTGGATCATGGCAGTCAAGATTAATACGAATTTCTCTTTAACAATGACTCTTTGAAATGAAAGAAAATTAATTTGCTGGAGGATATCAGAGGTTTTTTTATATCGCAGTATTTGTAAAATTTTGATTTAAAAAACCTACTTTTGTTTCAAAAAAAGGAAAAAGATTCGAAATAAAACAAGTATTATACATTAAGGGTACTCATGCAGTGATAGGTATCGCAAAACCTCTTAAATGTGTTAAGTCGAGAAAATTATTTACGAAATGTGTGTTAAATATGGCCGCTAGCACTAGGGTGCATTTTAACGCAGCCTAGGGTCCTGTAGAGTGTTGCTAACTTCGTAAACGTATGGGGTACCAGGTTATGGTAAGGTTTTGATGCGTTTGATTCGCTGTTCTTTGTTTGTGTTCAATATTCACAGAAATGGAATGTAAAGACATCTAGGATTTCATCAAGTTCTTTGCCTTCCGAATCATCTGGGTCCTCATTCATGCTTTATAACGTTAAATTTTCCAGCAACTCAGTCTTTTCACTTCGCTTTGGCATTTTAAAAATAAATCAAAACTTTAATAGAACAATTAAGAAGACGCAAACTTTGTTTACAGTACAGCAATAACTTCACTATAACTGATAACACTTTAGCACACACAGCTCATTTACCGCTCATTGAAAACTATAGCATGATAGCACAGTAAGCATTTACAACAAGTGCATGAATACCCTAATTATGTATTTTCTAAATAAGCAGAATGACTGTAAAAATTTGAAAGAAAAGTCAAGATAAAATTATGAACCACCAGCTCAAACCAAGCAATTTTACAAAACCTACAAATCGCGCGTAATTCTTCAAAACGAA